ATCCTGCAGGCACTGAGCGCGCAGCTACACATGCAAGTAATGCTGCTGAATAAACTCCGGCAAAGTTTGCACCAGACTTTACTGCTCCCAGGTGCTGCGTTTGCATATGCGCCCAGGACTGCAGCACATTGAGCCGGGGAGGAGCAGCTCCGGCGGGCCGCAGACCCCAGGGTCAGCCTGCTAGGCTGGGGCTGCTCCATCCCAGCTCACTGTGCTGTGGAGGGGCTGGCAGGGGCACAAGGCTGCTTCCTCCGCAGGGGCTAGCCAGCAGACAGGCCCCCGTACCCCAGCCAGCCCCATCAGCGTCTACACGTATGTTGTGGTGCAATAAATAGCTCCGCTGTCGGATAGTACTTGTATCTGGCAGTACTGCCCTATAGCAGAGTTAATTAGTTTACTCCATCCTAATAGCATGACTTAGATGATGACTTCTTAGTGCAGAGCGAATTAGTCAACTCCGCAGTAAACGTCTCATGTAGATGCATCCCCCGAGTATGAGTCGTATTGTTTCTCACCAGGGTCGTAGTGAAGGAACAGGAAAGCAAGTCACTCTGTCTTGCAATTTCCTACTGAACAGGTTTCCTGCCACCCAAAGTTCACTCTGCCCGTTTATCAGCCTTCATTTTAAACTTCAAGTCTACTTTCCTCCTCCCACCCACACATGGCCAGCTGATTCATTAGACTTCACTAAAGAAAGCCGGCAAAGCTATTTTTGAGTGAAAGAATCTAAGATGACTCCAAAGATAGTTTGTTCTTTGTTGTTCGAAATTGGTCTCTCTCAACCTGCCAAAGTAATTTGGCAAAAAAAAAAAAAAAATTCCTAGGCTGAGCCGTACATGCCACGCTGCATCAGACAGAAAGAGGCTCCTTTCAGGCGTTACAGACCTCTGTGAACTGGGTTTTATGTCAGCAATGCCATCTCAATTACATGGCATCAATCCCTGGGCACCGGGATTCCTCTCCCCCCACAATAAAAAGCTCACGGTTAGGTATCCCCTTCTGTCCAGCTGAGTAAGTCTGGACATTGGTGGCTGACGACAGAGCTTGGAATGGCTAAAAGAAAAACCCAACGTGGCTCTTTTACCCGCAAGGGTTGAGCAGTCTGCCCCTGCACGCCATGGTCATCACTGGCCCAGAAACACAGCACTAGCACTCCAGCTCTCCACCCATCTTCCCAACGCAGCAGATAACTAAGTGGGCATATGAGGTCTCATCTCTCTGTAGCATTTCAGCCAGCAACACTAAAATAAGACAATTCTCAGAGCAAATGATCAAAATTCCTCTAGGGCTCCATTTTTTCCTTCTGATTCAGGTGTTACATTCAGAGATTTTTTTTTTCTTTTAAACTTGGTTTGACTAAAAAGTTTCTGAGGAAAGTTAGTATCACCCCAAAAATGGAAACCCGCAAGCAGCCTGGAACAGCCATCATATCAGACTTGCTTGATCACAGCAGTCCTTTTCACATTATCCTGCAGATCCAAAATCCACAGAAAGGGCAAGAGAGATAAAAGCCAAGCCAATAAAACTATAAACCTCCACAGGTGAAGCAAAAAAGTTTCTAGGGCTCTTTTAATAAGACAGCTACCGACGGGGGAACAGACAGTATCTGATGAAGTAAGCTCTCTGCTTCTGAAACCTTGTGCTATGTAATTGATTTAGTTAGTCTACAAGGTAAAAATCTACCCGACTTCAGTCTACGCTAACTACCTCTTTCAGATATACTTAAAGCCAGCAGTGCCGATAAAACCAGGAATAATTTTAAGACTGAAATCTTCGTGCAGTTCTAATATACTTACAACTTGCTCTCCTCTTGGGACTCGATATAATACTTTCTAAAGCATTTCATTCACATCTATTTTATTCAGGTGGTGGCCGCGATCTTCATGAAGCAATTAACAAAATACACGTGAAATACATAAGAGCCACGACACACATCAAATAGGCAAAAGACTTAGCCTGAATGAAAAGCTCTTTCCCTTACTGTCAAAGTAACTGGTGTCATCCTCAGATTCCAGCTGGGGAATGAACTCTGCTTTCTGCCGAAGTAATCCATTCCAGTCCAGATCCTTAAAGAACCGGTGCTGTTTCACTTCCAAGGCACTACCTGAAATACAGGTGCTTTTTTCAACATCACTCTTGCACGTAAAAGACCCACCGTCTCATGCAAGGGAGAAGGCAGGTGAGCGCGCGCACTTTCTAAGAATCCCAGGAAGCGAATCTTGGGTTCTTTGCCAATGTTATGATGAGGCACAAAAGTGAACAAGAATCCCAGCCCACCTCACGTGCACGCAGTTTAACCAGAATATTTGCCTACAGCGATGAGGAAACAGCACTTCTGGCACCATTTTGCAGCTTGCATGTTACAAGAGAGAGCTAGCTCTGCCAGGACCAATGTTGTATGCCATCTTGCTGACATCAGGGGTGCGCGCACACGCTTTTTTGGCCCTGATTCGGGAGGCTATTTGTGTGTAACCAGCCCCACAGACGCCAATGGACTCTCGTGCTTTAAATGATGGAGGTGCCTGCACCTTCCTAAATTGGGTTCTGTGTGATTACGGTCTCTAGCTAGACAGCCCAGACAGAGACAGGACCTTTGCCTTTAGAACGTGGATTTTTCATAAAAGGTTTCCTTGTCTGCAAAGAAGAGTGGAATCAGTAAAGAAATAAGATGTGCTGGATGATATTGCCAGCAAAAATATCAACTGGGTAGGCAGTTCAGAGATACAGACCCCTTCAATGAGGAGCTAAAATGAGGCATCAGCCCATTTTGCCAAAATCAAAAGCATCTTTCAAATGGCAAAGATTTTCAGGCATCCCAGCAGGGCCCTGAACTGGTGAGCTATGGGTGAAAGGCACTGCGCGTCACAGATTCGGGAGTCCCCCAGTCCTGTGCATGCATGTGTTTCAAATCTGCTACGTGAAAGTGCATCCTGAAACTGGTGCACGTTTGCATTTTAAAAGGCTAAATATAAATTACATGCAAAGCCAAAGTAAGCAAGCAAATAAAATTAAGGGACCAGGAGAATTATACCGCAGAGCCAGACGGACAAACTAGAGCATTAGGTGGAAGTTTGCTGAATCTATCAATAGATCCTTAATATGAAAATGGAAGTCTGAGGTTGCAAAGGCTTAAATCTGACATTACATTGCTTACAGATAGTCTTAAGCACTTTCATTTGCCTGAGAGATCTCAGGTTCTTGGATCTTTGGGGGATTAAACAGCAGAGTCCAATCGCTAGAGTGAAAATCTGTCATTTACTTTGGCATGCCCACGAGTACTCATCAATATGGAGGGTCACTTTCCTTGTCACAGAGAATTTCACGCAAAATCTCTTTAAATAATGCTCCAATTGAGACACAAATCCCTAACAGAAACTTAAACTGGAACAGTGCAAAGTTGCTGCGAGAGAGGTTTCTCAGGGACATTTGAAGTGGGTCAGTGTCAGTGACTTCCTTTTCTCTGAACCACAACAATGGGATTTTTCTGATGCATGCACATCCCACCCTGAGGCTGAACACTACGGGGGCAGAAAACTGTTCAGATCATCACTAGCGGCAATGTAAGCTACTTTCCAGTGGTAAGTCAGCAGCGTACAAAAAGTTTGGCGACTTTCTTTGCCACTGCAAGTTCTTTCTTGCTTCTGGTGGTGCTTTCATTAGCATACGCTCCTACCTGTTCCCATTCTCTCCAGGGGGTTTTGGCAAAGAAGTTTGGAAATGAGGTCCTGTGCATCTGGTGGCAATGCTTCATCCCCATCCGGCCAAGCAATTTCATCTGAGGAGATAAAAAGACTTGCCTTTTCCAAACTGCTTTAAGATACATTTTAATGTGCACAAATGTTTTCTACACTAGAAATATGAACTTGAATATTTTTACATTCAGCAGCACGTGTGCTTAATATAACTCAACACGCTGACATTTTTCAAAGTGCGTATAAATTCAGCTTTAATTAAAGCTGCTGTCAATGCAAACAGTATTTGTTAGGGAAAAATGTTAAGAACCTTAATAAGTATGAAACAATGACCTTTTCTGAAAATACAATGTTGACAATGTGGCTATATCTCATGCCAGCATGTATTACGTACCTTGTACAAAAAAATGAGTAAGCAAGTCACAGGTAATAATTTTATTAATCAAATTCAGCGTTTTTGTTCCCTTTGGCTCTCAAACTCTGAAGTTTACTTTCACAAATATTTGCCAAAATTTGCTTAAAACTGACTGTGTCAGAAATCATTCTAAGCAGTACCAATTTTTCACTAGTCTATTCATAAAAAGCATGCAAAATGGCTGAACTGAATGAGTAAATGACTTTCCATAGCATGTGTCCAGCTGTAACTGTGAGAGATGAGCCACAGGCCAATTACAGTCACTATCCAAGACACAATGATATAAATTGTGTTTTATTGATTATATAAGGCACACTTGATTACATTTATAAAATATTTGACTAATGAAATCCATGGATCTATATCAGGCAACCAAAATCTATCTAGTCTGAATCTGGCCAGACCACTCCTTTCATCTGACTGTGTATATTTTATAAGTAAAACGTGAAAGCATGTCATTTTTTCCCTCTACCCCAAAATGCTAATTTCTTTTACAAACTGAATCTCTCCTCGAAGCCTGCATTTGGACATCACCTGTACACACCTGTGACCCCGATTTCATGTACATTATCAAGACTAACAGCTTGTGGTGGTACTAGTAACTTACCAAAGGCTGGAACAAACTAGTTCTAATACTGACCAGTTAACATATTTGCTCCATATTTGATCTTTCTTGACTAAACAAAGCAAATTACAGTATTTTCAAATACCTTTTCATAATGGACCTTTATGCTTTGTGCCTCTAAAACCAAGGAAGCGCACGTACCACTGATCACTTGTCCAAACAGCTCTTCTGGTGTATCACCAAAGAAAGGGACGCAGCCAACTAAAAACTCGTAGAGGATAATCCCCATGGCCCACCAATCCACAGGCTTTCCATAACCCTGTCGCAAGATCACTTCTGGGGCAATGTATTCTGGAGTCCCACACACCTGAAGACAGACAGACATGACACCAGTCATTTACATACTATCTTATTTGTAAGTCATCTTCTTCCCACCTCATTCTGCTTCTACTACCCCAGCAGGAGCAGGCAGCTAGTGCGTTATTGCTAATACTCCTCGTTGAGGCCACATTTCCATTAGGAGCCCTTTGCCAGCACAGAAACACTGGTACAGTTTGGTTGCAGCTATGCTGGAAAAGCTGTTCTCTGTAACGCAACACATTATACTGGTGAAAAGTGCAGTTTGCCAATATAACGAAGGGCTTCTGGTGCCAAGTTCTGTCATGTCAGGGATTATACCTCTTCCGACCCCGGACTAATATGGTTATCCCGGAAAAAGTTGGCAGCACTGACAGAGCTTAGAGACAGAGAAATTATGTACGTCTGAAAAATCTGTCAAAAACTTCTTCAGGCAGATGCTCCCTTTGCCTAAAGAAGGGTGTTTATACCCAAAAGCTTGCAAAGAAGAAGTTTTCCAACTATTTGAGTTGGTCTAATCAAAGATACCAGATTTACCCAGAGAGCCTCGTCTGCCCATGATCAAGACTTCAACGCTCTATGTTTATATTCGGTGACAAGTTGGAGGAAGATCAGAATCTCATACACCAAAGGATGACTTTGAGGATCACCATACCAGAAACTGGATGCAATTTAACAGTACAACGTGCATGATGATGCTATACATTTGCGTAAGAATTTCTGCTATCATGGCCCCATTAGCTGGAAATGGGAGGAGAAAGCTCGGAGTGTATTCTCCCACCACAAGACAACTATGAACCAGTCATTTATGTAGCGGGGGAAAAAGGCAAATACAGCCCTAGAATGTATTCAAGCAAAGTATTTCTAGTAGAAGCAGAGAAATTTTAATGTCACTGAACTAGACAGAATCTAAAGCAATACTGCATATAATCCTGGCCACCGTGGTTCAGGAATTCAAACTGGGACAAGTACACAGAAGGGTCAACTAGGATCAAAGGCAACAAGACTTCATATTATTTTGTTTGGCAAAATACAAGAGATGCTTGGACTGCCCTCTGTAAATACACCATACAGGGAAGGCGAAGAGCTAGTTAAGCTAAAGGAGAACGCTGGTATAAAAATAACGGTGTATAAAACACCAGGTAAATGTAGACTTGAAATCAGAATATGGTTTCTAATCTACAGAGGAGTGAGACTGCAAATCAGCCTTGCAGCAGAAGTGCTAGCGAGGGAAACCTAACCAGCTTCAAGGTGGACCTTGCTAACTTGTGAACGTATCACATAGTTGTTGACAAAAGCAGAGAACCGGAGTCCGTGAACTAGGGGGGCCAGGAGGTCCATTCAACTTTCAATGCAATTTAGAAAGGAAGCTTGAAATCCTAAACTAAATGTTACAATCACAGCACATCAGAAATGAAGTTAGAATTGCAAAAAACGAAAATTATTTGTGCAAAAACACGTGAAAGCCTTGATCCCAATCTTTCCTCTTCAGCTCTCAACCCACTGCAAAATGCCCACGTTGAACCCTATGAAACCCTATGACTCTCTCCAAAAAGGTATATACATGAGCCCCACACCCTGCAACTGACTCCCTACAGGCAAATGCCTGCACCTTCATGGAGGCAGCTGTAGGGTCAGACCCGAAGCCTATGGCTTCCTGGTTTACAATGGACTGGGTTTCACTCGCACACTTCCCATGCAACTGGGCATCCATTCGAATTACAGTCATCAGCTTGCCTCTGCCTGCCTTTGCTGGTTACAGAAGCATTTAATTATGAGTACATAATTAAACACAATCAATCTGTATATCTAAAAAGAAAGAACTGCAAATGGCTGTGGCAATTCACTGATTCTCAGATGTAATTTCAGCTTACCTGCTTATCCAGGAACTCTCTGGCATCTTTTTCAATGTGTCCCTCATACAGGTTAGTCGTGAGACTCATTAGCCCAATTTTAGAAAGTCCAAAATCTGTTAGTTTAATGTGACCCATGGATGTTATCAGAAGACTGGGAGGAAGAGGGGAAACAAAATAATTCAGTATTCACTGCTATAGTTTCCCAAAAGCAATCAAAACAGCAGATCACAAGGTTAAGCTAGTGCATTATCTAGAAAAATATTGGTGAGATACATGGTGATTGGTGAGTTTGTGCATTGTCTGATTTCTCCAATGTGGCTGAATATTGTATCAAAGGGACAGACAGCTAGGAAATCAGATGGATTTCAGCCAGATTGTACCAATGTAACAACAGGGTTCAGACAGACATTTGAAGAAAACACTATTGTTAGCTCTCATTCTTTCCATGCTTAACTTTGCAAATGAGACTAAAAGTTAAATGCAGTCCTGACTAGCACCCCATTCAAACCAGCAACCCTGGGATTATGGTTTTTGTCAACTTTTCTACGTGCGGTTAAGATTTTAGGAACTGTTGTTGCATCAGGGGAAAATGAGCTGGTTGCTCATTTCTCAGTTCATCTCCCAAACATGCCATGGGCACAGCATACAATATACAAGTGATTATTAAGCAGAATTTAGGATATCATTCTGTAATGCAAATTAATATGCCTCTTGGGGAAGGTGCAGGATGCTATGGCCTTATTCAACTACCCTTTATTGAAATAAGCATAGAATGAATTTATAAAGGAAGAGAAGGTGAATGCGTCTATAATAATTTTTCAAGACTAACAGATAAGACAAGAGAAACCTGCATAACAACAACATCCCATGTTTCTGTAACTATACTTTTATCATGAACACCACAACGACGTGTTTGGACCGGAAGGATTAAACACATACTTGTCAGGTTTCAGGTCACGGTGAACAATTCCATAGTTATGCAGATACTCCAAGGCCAGCACGGTCTCAGCAAAATACATCCGGGCCATATCAACAGGAAGGGCCCCAATATTCTTCAGGAGCGTAGCACAATCACCTCCTAAGTAGCATATTCAAATATCACACATTAAAATGCTACTTGTATTCATATAAAGCAAAAACAGCAGCTTCGAGACCATATTATTTGCTTAGCTGAATCGCTGAGAAAGCACTCCTCAAAAGTACACCTTCTGAAACAGCATGTCTCCTTGCGTTACAGGCTTTGATGTGGTCCAATGTTTTTAACAAACCTTAAGATGCTAAAATATCTGTTTAAGGAGCTCTGAATAATAAGAAAAAAAAGTTATCTCCAGAAATTCATCTAAATAGATACCAAGTTTTTAATTCGACAGGATCCCGTTGGTCCTGCTACTGTAGCCAAGGGACCTGTCAGCCAGACAAGTGACATACGACAAACTGCACAAAAGCAACCGGGGGCTCAGATGCTCATCTCCGAGTTCCTGGCCAACTCTTTTTTCTGTTTTCTTATGATGGCTTTAAGGTCTATGAATAATAGACAGCACATTTCTATCATCTCATTTGAGACTGCACAGCAGAGTAAATGCTGAAGAATTACATTTATCTACATTTAATTTGATGGTATTGAAAACTCTGGTTCCAGAGAGTCTGAGTCTGTTAACCTGACTATTACTGCAATTACTGACAAGTGTTTCTCCATTTAAAGCATGGATCAAAATTCAACTTGCCCTTTCCAGAGGAGCAGCGCGCGTGGTTTTAATACGCCCAAGAAAGGCAGCAGCATTTGGCTCAATGATTGCCTTTCTGATGCAGTATGCTTAGAGAGTGTTGGGCCAGAGATGTCACTTGATCCTCGGCTTTGTTTGCAAATGGGAATTGACTCTGAATTTGTCAACATTTATCAAAGTACATTTCAGCTTCACTAATTTGTCCAAAACAAGCGGTAATACAATAGCTAGCACTCACTTTTTGTGGGTATTTGGCCAACCCAAAAAAGCAAGCCAGATGTAGGAAATTAATTCTATGTACTGCCGGAAATATACTGTTCACATTAAGATAAAACTGTAGAACAAGCCCAACTCATTTTCAAGTGGAATAAACAAGGTGGAAGCAAACGTGCAACGAAAGATTGGTTCTTAGCTTCCACTTCCTGTTGCCAGACCGTAGCACTTCTGTTCTGTATTTCTTTCAAACGTTATTACCAAATCCATTATGGGCCTGATCACTGTGACTGCTACGGCAGTAACCCCAGGGAGGAAGCCCCTGTCAGGGTCTCTCCTCACAAAGGGGTCCATGCCAGCTCTAGCCCCCACTGAAGATCCTGTACCCTGCTCTTTAGTGTCAGAGCTCCACTGCAGCCCGCTGTTAGCCCCAGCCGACGCTGGGACTCTTAGACAGGGCAAAGAAATACGATATCAGGATGGAATCACTTCTCTGACTCCTCTCTGCATCTTGACCCAGCCAGACTCCACTCTCACCCCCTACATGGGCCTCGGACCCATGGGCTGACCTCCGTGATGTCCAGGTAAAAAGGTGTGTCACAGGCTAGTGAACTTACCCTTCTTATGGGTGAGGGAAACCCTACGTGCAAAAGATCCACTGCTGTGTCACCTCGTGACCACGATGCAGCCTGATTTTGGATGCTACATTCAAGCCACATCAGCGCAGAATGTGGTGCTAAGTGACCTTAAAGAACTTAAAGACACCAGAGAAAGCCCTCAGATCATCCAGGAGAAAACAGGCAATTTACAGAATAATTATTTCTTCTCTGCAAAGCTAAACTGCTTCAAAGATACAACCAGGCTGCTTTCTTTTCGGAGATAAATACCTTCCACATACTCCATAACCATGCAGAGGTGACGCTTGGTCTCGAAGGAGCAGAACATGCCGACTACAAAGGGGTTCTCGGCAAAGGTCAGGATGTCTCTCTCCACAAAGGCCTGCTGGATCTGGTTTCTCAAAATGAGGTTCTGCTTGTTGATCTTCTTCATGGCAAAGCGCTGGCGGGTGGTTTTGTGCCGCACCAGATACACCGCACTAGAAAAGATGGCACAGAACGCCAGGGTTCTCACATTAATTGGAGTTATTTTAAAATCACTGGATTGCACAGCTTATTACATTGTACTGTTAAAGGCATCAGGTGGGTTTTTAACTCTGACTTCAGGCTAACCATCAGTGGAGAGAGCAAGACATCTCCCAGTGCTCTCGTCCTTTCAAGTCAGGAATGGGAAAGGTCACTCTTGACAGCCTTTTCTGGCAAATAAGCAACTCCGGTATGACTAGAGATGAACTATATCTACTTTATGAGATGCTTGAATACTAGGATAAAACTCAGTTCCTCCATCAGAAATAAGACCAGGTCTCATTAGGATTAATTCACAAACCATGCATTATAATAGAGTTTTTGCAAGTACTGACAGTTAATGAAGAACACAGCGAACCATCTTGTATGTACAGTTAAAGACGTACATTGTTCACTTTCGATGGTTACTACAGTCACCACGCGACTGAAAAAGTCTGAAGTATGCAGGATCAGTTCAACTCCTTCTGAGCTACACAGCCCAAGCAGCTTGACTAGCTGTAAGAAGCTGATGTAGGATTTCCTGTGATCAAGGTTTTTCATGTCTGGCATTTTCACATCATTAGCTGTTTGCATGCAAGTAGCACAGCTTGCAGAAGAAACGGGTTGCAGCTCATTTTGTGTGATTATACTTATTTCTTCTTCTCTGGAATCAGTTTTCAGACATGCACGGCAGAAGGCATGATTTTGGGTTTGGGAATCAGATCCAAGACACACCATTACACCTGGCTGGTGTTCGAGTCTCCAGTGCAATCTGGGGCTGGAGCTGATAATCAGCTGGCTGTCAGCCACACACCAGATAGATAGTGCCAAGTGTGGTTCACTGGGGTTGTCGGGGCAGACAATCAGCCTCAGATAGACAACCCCAGGTTTTGAACTTGGGGCTATTCTGGACAGAGCTGACAATCAGTTGACTAACAAAACCCTATGCCCAGCAGTTCTGGCTGGGCTGCTGGGCACGGGGTGTAATGTCCCCTGCAGGGGAAGCCCTTCAGCTCCCTCTAGCCCCAACCTCAGGCCAGGGCCAACAATCAGCTGATCAGCAGTCCCAGGGTTGTTCCAAACCCCGGTATGATCTGGGCTCTGGGACCAACAATCAGCTGATTGTCAGCCCCAGCCACATGTTAAATTGAAGGTCCCACACAAACCAGTCATAAAAGTGTTCTACATTATATGTGGAACATTTTTATGGATTGTTTCCCATTTTCTGGTGCCTTGATTTAGGTGCACATGCAGGACCCTGCCCATTTACACTGTGACTAATATATTAATCATGGCACAAATGCAGTGCATGGAGGAGGCCACAGTATCAAATGGCTGAATAAAAGTATCCAAGATATGCAGCAAGGCAGCAAACTACCTCCACCCTTTCAGAAGGATGTACCTGAGAATATGGGGCTACACAGAAAAGGAGGTGTAAAGCTGGGACACGTTCTTACATAACCGGCTTTTAGATCTGTTCAGCTTTATGAACATGGATTTGTATATTTTCAGTAATATTTTTAAAATTAATTTATATTAGCTAAGGAAGGACTCAACAAAGCACTGAAGCATATGCTTAAATCCTACTGGAGTTAACCGAGGCTACATTTGGCCTGTTGAATATCAACAGCAACCTCCTGACTGTGAACAGAAACAAGTCTTTAAATTCTGGGTTGCGTGTGTAGGGCTGGCACTTCAAAATTTTAACTGGCAAACTAACTGCATTCCGGATTCTTTGGGGGCAATAAAACATGATTCTGTTTTTGCAGAGCAAGTTTGCGCAGTAGAGCTGTACTTGAAGATCCAGTTTCCGCAAATGTTTAATCAATGTCTGTACATACAGTTCTGAGAAGCATAAATGCATATTATGTATATCACCTTTAATACACGTGGGAATATTAAAATGCACCAGTGCACTTAATTGTCTCAATTAGCATTTCTTTCCTTATTGATAAGTAATTAGTAACACTTGCATTGGCAATACTTCAATGCGTTTCCTTTGCTTTTCTTCACACACAATCATTGCATTTAATCATAAACAGTGGAGTACGATGCAGCAAACCTTTCTAGGGAACAAACAAGGAAGATGTAAAGTAATTTTCCCTCAAACTCCTGACGTTATATGCTTTCCTTATAACAGTGTAACCTGAATGACTATTTTTATAGACCATGTCCTGGGACAATACATAAATATTGGACCTCTAATTTCAACCTCTTAAGTGTCACGTTAGACTAACAGATATGGGAATGCTTAACTATTCACATCTCGCACAGACAAACTCCGCAGAAAGCTACAGCATACGAAGGACTTGAGATCAAAGTTGTAGTCAAACACCAGTGAACAGCTACCAAAGACAGATCGTGAACATCACAGTCGGAGCGCCCTAAACTTCTATCAGGTCAATTGTCAATCTTCTTCAAAAGCAAAACGACTAGACCCGATTTAAAAGCCTTACCCATAAGCTCCATTGCTGATTAGTTTAATAGTTTCAAACTCCTCTTCAGAGGGAGTTTTCTTTGACTGCACAGAGGCCCCACGGCTCTGAAAAAAATCAAGAAGCTTTATTATTTTTATCATCATCATCATCCAGAATCTGCCTTCTTTTTTCTGAAGATCAATACTTAAAGGCAAGGAGATGCATACATTTGGAGCTGTTTCAAAAGGGCAGTCGCTGTTGGTTTCTAAGTGTGAACAAGATGAGAATGATACCATTCTAGCAAAACCACTGCCGTTTTAACACTGGATGAAGCACATCTCCAAATGCTGATCTATTCCTCAGATAAATAGTAAAATTCCAGGCCTCTTACCAACATAATCTTTAAATTAACTCATAACTTTTGCTACACCAGTATAATAGATGGCAATTCTTTCCAAGACAACACTGATAGAAATTTGTCTTGAGCCCCTGCACTCATTGCCAACATTTTCTCTCGGTGGGACTTTTTAGAGCCATTTTTGTTTGCAATTGTAGAGAAAATACTATCAAACCTTCTTAATTCCTGTCTGTATTTTTAAAGCATTATTTTACAGTATACATAGATGCAGGTCCAGGTTTCTATGTGGGTGCTATTTTGGTTTTTTAAAGTATTTTCACATGTCTCTCAAAATTATTTCTGTTAAAAACATTCAATGTGTTACAATCTGAAATAGCCAAACAAATCCTTTACTACAAGACTTTCTTTCCACGTGCATCAGTACATTGCTGCTTTACCTCAACCGAATCGTCTGTCTCCGGAGTATCTGGACTATCATAGCTATTCAGCTGGGCCATTTCTGAAAATAGCAAAGATAGATTAACATCTCAATATATCACTCTCTTCCTAGATAGAAAACACCCCCCAGTATTTTTAAAGGTATTTGCAGATCTCTGAAAAGGACATTTTTTCCTTTTTCCAAAACTGTTACATGAGTATATAACGGCCAACTTCAATATCTTATCAGTTGTTCTAGGTCCGGTATTATACTACAGTAAATACAAGTAAAAAGAAAACTATTTGTCTACAGCTAATCAGCATATTTAAAGATAAGTGCTACTATGTCTAAATGTGTACGTGCGTGCATTTAATCACGCAGGCATCCCTGCGAGGAGAAAGGTATTACGGTTCCAGCAAAGCAACACTCAGTACCCTAGGAGGTACAACTGTGCAAAAGGCTGAGCATCCTTAAATCCCAGGAAAGTCAGTGGAAGTTCAGGATGCTCAGCTCCTCCTAGCAAGTGCTACATACAAGTGGGTAGGCATCAAGCCCTGTATTCACAAGGCAACGGGTGAGCTGGGTACTTGCCTCTGAAGGATATGTCTACACAGATACTAACATCACGGGCATTTCGAGCGCATGCTCCACTGAACGAAAATGAGACATTTGGACATCTGCACCTACTTTTAAAGAAAATATGACTTTGCTAATGGGAAATAAGTGAATGAAAGGTTCTTTCTCCTATGACAGGACACATCCCACTAAACTGCATTGAGTCATCTTGGTTGAAAATTGTCCTCAGAGGCTGCTAGTCTGACGTTGCTTGCCAATGTGTCACACTGTCCTTCTGGGAAACGTTGCAGAAATTAAGGCAATCCTATACAGACTGATAATTTAATATGAAATTACTTTTCTGTGTGAAAACAGAAAGTCCAATGGTTGCCATACTGCAGTCACTTCTAGCCTTGGTTGCACATTTTCTTGTTTCTGAGCCAAGCACGGAAACAAAAGTTGTGGCCACAATAATCAGTCAAAAGAGAAGAGATTAAACCAGGCTAACAAAAGGCTGAGCTGAAATACAAAATTATGCGATAGCTCTCAGATGTCGACATCGAGAAATTCTGGGCCCCCGCACCCTAGAGCACAGGGACATATTAATATCACCGTGAACAACGCTGGGGTGTAGCAGAAGGGCTGCTAGGACAGCTCTGTCCCTCTTGAGTCACCCTTTAGTATAAAATCCACCAATTTCAACACCTGCATATTTAAAACATACTGCAAATGATCTTGTGACAGAAGTAGCAGTTGCTCAGAACGCTAAGTAAATCATATTACATTGTTTGGCTGCATGCCTTCTGGGACTAGAAGCATAAAATCTTGCAGCTGGATGAACTCTCCAAAGCACAGACTATATATCTGTCGCACACATTTATGAGCGACCGGTGCCACCTTTGACAGACATCATGGCCATAGGGACTATTAAAACTGCTGACACTATTTATTGGAGGGTTAACAATAAACGCGCACGCCGGAGAAAAGAGCAGTCAGTCTATGGCTGCTGATAGTCTCCAGCATAGCAGCCTCTGCAGACTGCTGCACCTTCCATCCGAAATACAGACTGTGGCCAATGGATCCGTGCAGCCCAAGATATGCCCTACCAGCTCCCCTGGGCCAGTCCACCAACTCCATGGCTTTCAACATGCAAGGGAAGGGACTTCAGCATTTCCTCCTGAAGGTCTAAGTGGCACAGTGGTCAACTGTACAGCAAAATGCAACGACACCAATCGACATGGCAAAGATCCCACCAGGACGTCTCCCTACCATATTAATTAAGGCAGAGGAGTCTGACTGCTATAGGCACTGGGCTCTACGGAGCAGCCAGGCCATTGGAGATCTCTTATTTGTACGATATAATTTGCTCCTAACGGGCTCTTCACTGAGTGCACCCACTAACCTGGCGAGGAACAGAACAGAAAGGCAGGAAGCATTTCAAACACTCAAGTTCCAACTTTCTGAGCAAACGCAACAGCAAATATAAAACAAACAGACTGTTTGAGTTGGCAGGCAAGAAGTAAAAAAAAAAAAAAAAAAAAAAAAATCACAATATTTAAAAAGGGACAGTGCCAATTGAAAGACCTCAAATTAGGTTCAATTGTGGAAAAAAAATTCCCAGGCTAACAAAAATCTAGTGGGAAGCGAGTCTGAAATTTCAGTGGAAAGGTTTGCAGGTGCGCTTTCCTACCCCCCGTGGGTAGGTGTGCCAGGAACACATTACAGACAAAACCAAAACTGACATTTCGCTGTCCAGCTCCACCCCAGGAAGGGGGACATGTCACATCCAGCTGTTAACATTTTTCCAGCTTTGTCACAGTGAGGTCTTATCGGCAACAGAGCAAGGACTTTTCTTTTTTTTTTTTAAATGCATAGACATTATTGTGAGAGGTCCCCTTCAAGACACACAAAATGTGACAGAAATCAGAGGTGGGAAGGGGAGTTTCAGATTTACGAGTGGTCAGAGGAGGAGGAGAAAAAAACAGCACATAAATTAAAGCCAAAAAATTCTCGTTGGACCGGTAAAGATGGCACTCCTCGGACAGTGCTCAAAGACGGTCGAGGAGGAATTCTTACCCTCCAGGGGATCCCGGGTAAGGCCCAGCTGGCTGATAATGTAACGGGGGATGTCGCACTTAATTCCTTGCCCTTCCTTGGCATGGCCTTCAGCAGCTTCCAACAGATGATAGAACTCTTCAGGGTCAAACTCCTACAGCAAAAGGGTAGGGAGAAGACATTTGAGGGGTTTGATTGATTTATCAGTTTTGTTCCCCTCCCCCCAATAGATAAAGACAAGCCTGGACGTCGCTAAGCTTAACCACTCAGACTTCTCACACACATTCTGCAAAAAATCTACTGTCACAACAAGTCCAGCACATATCATTGCACTCTAGACAAATATAGCCCATTGGGTGGGTTCACAGACAGAACTGGATATCTATAACCCAGACACGGCAAGACATAAAACAAAACGAAAAGTCCGAGAACCGTCAGAAAATGAAAACGGGCATGTAAGATTTAATGCGAAGAGTGGCATGACGGGTGAAACGCCACAAACAGCATAAAGGAATTAAATTCCTCTGCACCCATTAATGCAATCCCCTTCCTGAGCCATATCCTCAGATATTTTATTCCAGGAATCAGACAAGGTGGTGAATATAAAGCTGAAGATCAAATGAACCCAGCGCATTTTCCATCATTTAATGCCACAGCTGCTCTACTGAAAGCAAAGTGAAATCAAAGGTTAAATTGTAAAATTAGTATAACAGATTCTCAATAATTAAAATGGCAGACTGCCTACGGTTATGCTCGTTTCCATACACCGAGCAAGAAACACTTGTGCTAAATACATTGGTAGCAGTAGAGTGTGCCATGTAGAAGAAGAAAACGTTAGACAGCTCAGAAAGCTTTACAAACAGAGAAAAGGCTAAAGTGTGGCGCTGCGCAAGCATTTGTGTGTGTTGGGGTCTTGCCACTTCGTTTTCAGGGCTGTCACAACATGCTCTGGAGTTCATTACTCAAATCTCAGAGACTTTGCAGCCTCCACCTGCTCCCATGCTCATCTCACAATGACAGGTGCAGCAGCTAGTACAGGAACCTCTGGATATATTAATTTGTAGGTTTTATTTTGGAGCTGCTTCCAAGGGAACATCGCACTACAGAGATGGTGTGAAACTCTGGCAAGTCTTCTCCAGCCCTTCTTTAGCCATGTGTCACTAGCACAGCCCACGTGTATCCATTTCGGTGTTAAGCAAGGCAAGCTCAAGAGACCCATAGCAATCTTTCAGCTTAAATTTTCCTGTGTCTGTATACTAATTTCTTGTGTGTGGAAGATTTTCTAGAAAGGTGTCAAAGTTAATTTGACTCACTCAACAGACCTAAGTGGCTAAGACTGCTTTGTGGTTCCCTAGGTACCGAAAGACCTGGAGCAGTGCAGTGTTTCTCATATTCTCAATGCAGCAATCAGGAATGTAGATTAAAAATGAACGTATATCGTCAGCCCACTACACTGAAAACATACTGTTCCACTGACTTCTCCGCCTTATGCAAAATGACTGCAAAACCTGGCTGCTTCATAATAACGTTGATGTTGAAACACTTCCTAGTTGCTGAAACTTATATTGTTAACTTCAGAAAGTTTGCTCCACATGTTAACTGAACCACTGCTTATCTTCCAGCAAGCCCCTTCCACAACTTGTTTAAATCTTCTAATCTTTGGAAATGAGGCAACTTGACTCACAGATTTTGAGGCCAGAAAGGACCATTGGGATCATCTAGTCCAGGGATGCTCAACTCCCAGCCCAGGGGGCAAATCCAACCTATGGAGCCATGGGATCCCAATGGGTCAGGAAATTAGGATGTGGGGGAGCAGTGGTAATTAATATTGCCACCCCCTCAGCCCCACACCGAATTTACAAGCCTCCCATGGCTGGGCTGGGCCAGACTCCCTTCTCCCCACGCAGCTGGATCGGGGCTGAGCCGCACCCCTATGTCCCGCATGGTCGGATCAGGGCTGGGCTGCCTACTGCCCCCCTCTGCGCACTGAGATGAGGGCCAGGCCATGCTTGGCCAAAGCTCTTCTTCTGGAAAGACGAAGTAGTGATCTGAAGACCTGAAGAAACTGAGAATCCACCATTTCCCTCCGGAAACGGCCCTTTCTGTTGAAAAGGTGCGAGTTTATTTTTTATTTGAATCTGTTGGGTTTAACTTCCAGCATCTGGTTCCTATTATACTTTTTCTCACTGACGAGCCTGTTAGAACATGGTATTTTCTCCAGGGAGAGTACATATATACCACAAGCAAAACACCTTAATCACCTTTATATCCTGTGATAAAATCACCTTTATATCCTGTGATAAGCCAAACAGCATGAGCTCCTTAAGTCTCTCAGGACCCCGACATACATTACATTTAAAGCACAATTAAGGAGTTAATGACATCATAAATAGTAACCTGGCCACATGTTAAAGGCAATTTATGATGTAATAATATAGCAAGCAAGCAACAAAAATACTCCACATATAACGTGGAACATCTTTGTGGAGTGTTTGGATTGCGCCTTAAATTGAATGTGTGGCATGTCATGGTTGACCCATGACAGATCACCATGCCCAGCTGAGCACAGAGATCTGGCATGGGGCAGTCCCAGGGCCCAGGACACAGCCATCCCCTACCCGGTCAATGGGATTAGGCTGGGGGCAGCATCGGGTCTTGGACCTGATGCCTTTGTCTGATCCCCAGAGGCTGATGTGGTGGGAAAGGAGCCTGAGATCAGAGAGCTTCTCCCTGATTGCAGGTTCAGTGCGTCTTGGACCTGCGGCTGGGATGGGAGGTCCAGCTGTACGCCTGCTTTCTGAAGTTCCTGGGGCAGTGGTGGAAGCGACAGACGGGGAGCTGGGAGCTTCACTGCACAGCTGCAGGTGCCAGGAGCTCTCAGGTATCCAGCTGCTGTGCCCTGCACCAGAGGTCTCAGTGCACAGGAAGCTTTAAAGAGTGCCCCTGAGGCAACTCTGGGAGCTCATTTTCACCTGCTGGTCCACTACGATCCCCTAAACCCTTATCAGAACCCCGTGTCCCAGGACACGGTCTCCCATCAGCATAGATTCATAGATGTTAGGGTCGGAAGGGACCTCAATAGATCATCGAGTCCGACCCCCTGCATAGGCAGGGAAGAGGGCTGGAAAGAGTGCTGGGTCTAAATGACCCCAGCTAGATGCTTATCTAACCTCCTCTTGAAGACCCTGTGGGCAGGGCCCGCAGTCTTGGTTCTCTCTTTCGAACCAAGCATAAAAGTATATATATTTCTTACCAGCCCCGGAGCATTTTAGAAAGTGATACGTGACTTGCCCTTCAATATATTCAAGACATTCTGATTAAGATTTTACCACTTTGCTTACAGATGTTTTGAGGATTTCCTTACAGGAAATAGGTACAGAATTATCTAGTCCACCCAAAGTGCTGAAGCCTGATTTGATTAACCGAACTCCAAGAGTTCGATTAGAATTGGCTCTGTGGCCTCGATGGCGATCTACGTGCCCTTCTGTGGTCCCTGCACGCTCCCAGCATGCTCCCTGCTCCCTGATTTAGAGTTTGTCTTTTTTCACAAACATTTTCCTCCAGAGTCAGAGCTGCCCTTTTAAGACTTCGTTCTTCCTGCCTCACTCGCGCCACTTTTTCTTCTGAGGACCCACTCACCAGGCACTCGAGCAGTCGAGCTGGTCGTGCGATGATGATCATCAGCTTTTTCACAAGCTGGGTAACAAAAGCGACCTCTGAGCTCTCCGAGCGCTCGTGGGCCTGTGGAGAGAAAAATGCCATGTTATTGTCCAAACGGTGAACTGTTCGTTTCCACGTGTCGAACGACGAAGCCGGAGCAGTCATCGGCTGGGTCATGGAAACTCGGCTGAGTCAAGGTAACTCAGCTGAGTCAAGCTAAGCAACTAGAGATCAGCTCATTCAGTGGTGCCAAGTCCTACCCAGGACTTCCAGGAGAACTGAGTGTCTTTACCAAGATGAGCAATATTCCAGGGGGGAGTTAAGGGCAGCAGGTTACCTGTAAATCTGCCTCACCTCACGTGTGCTTCTTAATTAAGAGAAAGATTTCTAACCCGACTACTGGACATTATATCAATCCAAACTGCTCTCATTCCCGAGGAATTTCTAGGGAGTGATGTCTGTTTAAATGTAAAGTTTTTGAAGTTTACACTGGGTTTCTTCTTTTCATTATAAACTCAATTCTTAGATTCAGAGAAGTTGTATTTCCCCTTTTATAGTAATAAAATTAAACTAATGATATGAAAATATGAAACTCTTCTGACAATCATGGCATCTTCCTTTTTTCCTCCTCAGTGCCACAATGGCTAGGACTAAGAGGTCTGAAGCACATGTCAATAATACTTCGCTCTGCAGGCTGATAAAGGATTACCAGCCTCCAATTCTCTAACAGCATCGAAACAACCTGACAGACCACCACTACGACCTGGACAGAAATTAGGCCTGAGCACAGCCACAGAAACAGGGTCCCAAACCAGCTGGTTGACAAACGTAACCTCTGAGCTTTGCAGTTGCTTGAAGGCACAACATCTTATCAACAAGGGTGCCGGCAGCGAGAAAAAAGTTCACTGCATAATGCTCATTAGAAACAAAAATGAAAAATCCTTGGAGGGCTCAGAAAGCAGAAAGGCTTGGTAGCCACCTAAGAAATGGTGAAAGTGCAGGGAAGCTTAGATTTTAAACTAGAAATTTCAAGATGTAATTTAAAGAAAGGCATATTTTCACCATTTCTTATAAAGGAAAGAAATGAATACGTACAATCAAAACTTATCCTGGTACAGGTGATTTTTGTGCTTGCTCAATCTAATCTAGCACAGCTCATGTGCTAACAGGGTGTTTGATTTTTAACCTTAAACAAAAGGGCACAGCTGTATAATTACTGATTCTTTAATCAAAGAACACAGGAAAGGTCCTATGGATCTATTACAAACTGAAGTCATACAGAGAATAACAGTGAAACCCATTACTATAACTACTTGCCCGATATTTAACTACGTGTGTTGAAAAGCTAGTTTCCGTATTTTAAATAACAAATAATCTAAATGGGAAACACCGGCATACGAAACCCCCCACTGAGCCCCACAATGGACCAAACTTAAGAAAAAGTGTGAATTCAAAAAACAAAGCCAGTGTCTTGGTATTGAAAAGGTTCTCTTTTCCACAGACCGGTTGTATTGAAAAAATGAACTAAAACATTAATAATAGTGTATTATTCCTGACATACGAACCATGCAAACAGAATGTCGATTCCCTTGTAGATAATTATTTAAATTATGTAAACCCCGCCCCGAAAACCCTCTTATTTATCCTTCTGCATTCATTTATAGAGTCAAAGCCAACTTCGTCTTTCAGATCGAGTTCTTTGTTTTGGTTCTTTCAAATTCACCAAGAAGAGTCAGGCAAAACAAGGTTAAAAATAAAACTGATTCAATCAGATGTCTTTTCTGGAAATTAAAAGTTAAGTCACGTCTCTCAAATGACAAGGACAGGCTAAAAAAAAAAAAGAAAGAAAGAAAAAGAAGTACAGGTTTACAAAAAGCAAACACAACTTGTAACAGCCACTCAGCCATCATGTCTGCACAGCGCTGCTGTTCCAAGATCCTCAGTAAAATTGCCTCCTCTGGCTTCCTTCTCTCGCAGGCTAGTCCGGACATCTCTACAGATGTCTTCTTTATTATCTGTCCCGCTTCCAGGACCTCCGAAACGCACGGTTATATACCGAACCGCTGCCAGCTGCTCCCATGCGCCTTAGCATGATGCATGCCGTCTCATTAGCACTTCCCAATGACGACATGCCTGTCTCAAGGTTGGTGGTGTCATTGCAGGTTCCCCCCCTGCAGCGCGGGGGCTACAACGGGAGGCGGATGCCATTCCTACGCACGGCACCGAGCCGTTTCCAGCGACACGTGTTCGGGAGGCTGCGCTGGGTAATTTACCAACCGATTCCCTTATCTGAAAGACCCATCCGTCACTAACTGTAGCCACTGGGGCGTGAAATTAAAATCACTGTCCTCTCCTGGGGTTCAGAAGGACCAATAACTGCGACGTGCAAGTCACAACACCGTAATTGAGCTAATATACTGAGCGGGACCAGAACCGCTGCGCTTGCACTTACGCCCTTATTAAGAGAGCAATTCCAATCAAAATTCCAATTTCCAAGCAGGCAACCCAAGTCGCCGCAGTGAAATTCGAGTGCCCCCCACCCCCAGTTTCTATTGTTTCATGTACAGAAACACCTGTAATCCCTCCTTTATTTTTCCCTTCAGAAAATCTGATTGCACAAATTTCCTAAGTAGCCGCTATGATTCACGTTGACTCATTTTGCCTGGTCTTTCTCAATGAAATACCTAGGTTTTTTATTTTGTTGTTTCCTAAAATAAAAAGGTAAAGAAACCAATCTCATGCACCCATATAATAATTTCATTTTCCGATCTTTCTGTCTTCAAATTTGATACCTCCCATTAAAGTTAACATAGTTGGGGGTTTTAAATCTACTAATTCATACTTGAGGAAAACTCTGATGTTATAAAAAACCACATGCTTCTTCACTGAAAGATGACATACGAGGAAGTGATCTGCTTTGCCATGGTTGCATTTGGTATACGGTAACAATAACTGATGGTTAAGAGCATAAATGAGCTTTCTGTCTTGCTTTACCTGAATGCTTGATTTTTTACTGCAGCCAAATATTCTTTGTATCCAGGTGATTTTTTGTACAACTTAAGCTACTCTCTATTTGCAACTTATTAATTAGAATATGATATTTCTTGTCCCCATGCCTGGCACATACATGGCACCTAGTCTGCTACAAAAAAGAGTCTGAATGCACTTTTTAATACAAGAAAAATGCACAGGATACTTTAGCAGAATCAGTTCTCAGTTCTTAAAATCCCCACCATCTACAATCCCATTCCTGCCATTTATTGACCTTCAGGACAGTAATTTCCTTGCTCGATAGCTCTTACGGTCTATACAAACACCATAGACAAACAACGGCCCGCACCACAAAGAACGTCCTATACTGCAACAGTAATGGCATTTCTCATAATCTCCGCTGGACCTATTATTAATCTAGTGCTCTCAATGTGCATGGCCCCTTCCCAACTAATCAAAAGCGAAGGTCCTTCCCCAATAGTTTAACAACCCAAACGCAGCTTTTAACAGCTCAAGATTTCAGTCATGTTTCCATCCTCGTGACAACTCTTTGTATTTAATTAGAAACATCCTGACTACGTCCTTTCATAGATTCACACTCAAGGGGAGACTGAAAAATGGAAAGTAGGGAAGAAAAGGATTTTTATTCTCACAGTGACGGAAAAAGGGAATTCAGGACTGACAGGAGAGAGAGAGGAAAGACAGAGAAGTGGAAAGAAAAGCTTGGCTTTAGTGCCCTCTTTTCACCTTTAACTTCCTCACCGTTTCAAACCACCCCAACACGGAGAGCGACGGGCCTGAAGCCTTCTCAACAAACCTTTCTGAACTTGGGTATAGGTTATGTGAGCCTGGATACATTAAAAAGCTTATGCCCGGCTCTTGCCTTAGGATGCCAGCAAGTCATCCTTCCCCTCTGTGTTGGAGTCGCACCTACCTGAGATCGAGTACATCGTATCCAGATTAAAAGAACGAGGAAACATACTGTGACTGTAACCGGGACGAATCCTGGACGCGAGTCACAGCTCAGTTGTACGAAAAACAACTGCATTTTTGCTAGGTTTGGGTAGTCAGACTCGTAACAAGCTCCTTCTACCTTTCACCGGGCAAAACTGGACCCGAAAACACCGGCTGGCTCTAATAGGCAGCCAGGCAATGATGTCATCTCATGTCACACTCCTACCATCTGTGACATCATAAGGCAGGATCTGACCCCGCCCAGCTGGACTCAGGGCATGAACTACAACAGAGCGAAGAGACAGTAGCTGCAAATCACGGGGTAAGGCGGCAGAGAGTGTACAGAGCTTCGCTGCAGAGCTGGAGGACTCCCAAGCTACTATGAAAAGAGTCATTTTCCTTACATTTTCTTGCGACCTCGCAGTTGGTCTAATAAAAGGTATCATTCTGGAACTGAGTTCTAGTTTTTTTATGTCTTCTTGTCTCAAATCAACACGGCTACCACGTACACACCTAGTCTAACTCTGCACTTGCTAGAGAGCGTCTTTGCTCAGCAGCTGGATTTACCTTCTGCTTGCTTCCTGATGGTGTAGCTGTAAAATGCTCCTTTTTGATGCTCTAGCAAAGGGTGAGACTTGTTGACTTGAAGAAAGAAGGGTCTTGGGGGAAGATACTGAATTTCTAATTAAAAACCCTCTAACCACTGAATCACAGAAGATAAATAGTGAAAGACCCACTTGACACTTTTCCTGATCGTGTGGGATTGTTTGCTACTGCACATTTTCCAATGTGTTTACCTAGCCTGGATTAAGAGGCTCAAACAACGGGCGGCCACCGCTTTCTTTGGGAGATTACTCTGCCTTCCTGGATCACCTGTTTCAACCTATCAACTCCTGTGTGAAAGCCTGGCGCAGGTGTTCAAAGCCCCCCCGGGAAAGGAAGCGGACAGGGAGAACGAAGGGGACAAGGACACGACTGGCGCTGGAGACAGCGAGGAGGACAGCTACAGGATCAGCAGCAGTGGAAGGGACAGCAACAAGGACTGCGAATGCACCGAGAAGGGAAACCCCAAATCGGGGCCTGGTCTAAGGGCCTGCGTTCGGGTTAGAAATCCTGGGGAGCCAGTCTAATCCAGGTTTGTGTAGAAGAGCTGAAGGGGCTCAGAAACTCATGTCTTCTCTTGCCCTCATTTCGAAGCCTTGCTACCAGTGCTCACAAACACGACCATACCAAGATCAGGAGCAATTATTACTAGGGCTTGCACTCTCTATTGCAAGCTGGGATAGCAGTCCTGGATCACACAAGCCTGCAACTTCTGTGCTAAGCCAATCTGCAACGTGTAGAGGCATCTCAGATGGTGTCTGAGAACTCTTTTTTCTCAGGATACAACCACGTAACTTTAAGGCGAATACTTGGCCATATGGTTTTTCAGTCCAGCATGAACTACCTTTCACTGAGAACCGGGCACCTTCTCGTGAATGTTACTAATTCACTTAAAATAAATCATTAAAAATCCCCTCACCTGCTCTGCTAAGCCCTCAAATATGTTAACTGCCGTCACTCATAAACGCCTCCAGACAATCTCTGAAGGCTTCGCAGTGGTGTACTACTTAGCCAGCAGTTCATAGTCTCCGGTGGAGAACCATTTGGTGACAAAAGTACGAGTTAGATTAAATAGGGCAGGCAAACAGATATGTAAAGACAGCAGGTTATTTCAGAATAAAAAAAATGTGTGTGTTTAAAGTGTTCACAACTCTTATCACTCTACCCAGGGAAGCAACAATTACAGAAACCGAAAGACGTCCTCCGGGATGCACTGCCCTACACTTTTCCTCCGTCAGGCTTGCATCGCTGCGGGCTCTCCACAAAGAAACGTGAGGTTCACCCCTCCCAACCCGTTGCAGCCTACAAGAAAGCTCTTCACAAAGGAGGCAGCTCCAAGTTTAAGTTGGTCTGAGAAAGGATTCTGAGGATCTTCCACAGCTTTTGATTCCTGATCACCATATTCCCATTATATGGTTTCGTCCCCGATTCAATTCAGCGGAGATTCAGCCCAATTCAGTGGCCGAACGTCCGAATCCAAATCAAATCAGAGGACCTTTTAATCTCTCTGAATCAAATCGGAACCCTCCAAATTGATTCAGAAAGATTCAGAGATTCGGACATAGACACAGCTTTAAATGTTTCTTCTACGTACCTCAAGGTACCAGGCGGCTGGTGAACGCTGTGATGCTGGGGCACGTGGAGTGTCCCACATAAGGGCGAGGGGGTCCCCAGCACGCTCGGCAGCAGACCCGGGGGTGGAGCAGAAGCACTTCCGGTCCACTTCTGGGTCCGCAGGGGAGCACGTGGGGGGCCCCCTGCACCCCCTCCCGGCTCGGTGACTGGTGCCTCTTGGGTCTGGGGGGGCACCTGGGGTCCCCCATGGCCGATCGCCGAGCTGGGGGGGTATGGGGGGGCCCTGGCGCATTCCCCAGCAAATCGGAAGTATTTCCGGTCTACTTCTGGGTTCACTGTTGAGCACATGGATGGCTCTCCCGCACTCCTGTGGGACGCTCCATGCGCCCCAGCGCTGCAGCAATCACGAGCCATGCCTGGGACCTTGAGGCATGTAGAAAAACCATTTAAAGCTATGTCTGGGTCTGAATCGCCGACTCTCCGAATCAGCATCGAACCTTCAGATTCGGATTCAGCCAAGTCGAATCAGGGACAGTGACCCAAATCAACTAATTGAATCGCTGTCCCCGATTCGGGACAAATCTGAATTGAATACGGCCCACTTCACACACCCCTAATGGTAACCATTAGCTGGGAAGTGCAGCCCAGGTGTACTAATTGCCAAAATTAACATACCACGAGGGTCTGCAAGCTGCTTGGTGAAGTATACATACAGCTAAACAGAAGCAAAGTCATCGTGAAGAACTACTTTAGTTGATCTACTTGTTTTTTTAGTACTTGTGACCTTTCAAGACAGCTAAAGACATCATAACTCCTACAATTCTCCCACCTACACTTAACTGCTTCCCCAAACCAAGAGTCCAGAAGCTGTTTCTGAACAATGCACAGGTCAACACGACAAGCAAGCACCTGCCACTAAGTTATCATCACTGTTGTGACACGTCCTCATGAATCTCTCTCACACTTCCGGTTACTTTGTTTCCACCACCAAACTTCAGCAGCAGAGTTTCAGCGACTCTTACACAGAAGTAAGAGAGGCTTTTGCACAGAAATACAACTACTGATTTCTAAGAATATTTTATCTTAAATGCTGCTTTTATTTTAAGAGCAAAGAGTGAATTTTTATGAGATGATGAAGTGCAATAAACATGCATTAAAGTTTTTTGTCCCCCTGTGGATTTTCTCATGTTCTGAACAACACAAAACACATCAAAGTAATAAAAAAGCAACAAATGAATATAGTTCAACTTTAGAAAATCTTTTATCAAAATCTTTTATCTTTTATGAAAAATTTATACCAGTGCTACCAACTATGATGGATTCATTCCTTGAAGGCACGTCCTCATTAATAAGTCATCCAGATAGTTAAAGTACAAGGAAGAAAGTTCAGCAATTTTGCTTTTATCTGGCTGAACCCAATCTTTAAAAATGGCAGAGACTGCCCTCAACTCATTCATATGCATTTCTCAGTTTTTGTATAACCAAAGAACATACATGAAGTGATTTGCTCAGAATCCCACGTGGCAGATCAGTGAGAGAGAGGGATAACATCTCAGGTCTCCTGACACCACGCCGGGGGAGCCCACCACACTGAACTGTACCACCTCTCCCAAAAACAAAGGTTTTATTTATGGTTAAAACTTAGCTCAAAGTAATATGCTCTTTTTTTCTGAGGGCACTTACATCCTGTAGGAGTTTCTCTAAGTTTTCCTGAAGTTCATAAAAGTACCGGGAAGTAATAAGTCCGTCACGTGATTTATCCAGGCAGTCTCTGGCTAGCTCAATGACTTGATGATGAATGAAGCTTAAGACCCCATCTGCTAATTGCAGCACATTCTCAGGAGCATTAGAAGCAATAAACTCAGCCAGCCGTTCCTCCATCTGTGCCGTGGCCTAAAAGCAACAAAGAATAAGTATAGCATATAAACGTTTTCTTTTTTCTCTCCTGAAATGTAAATATGAAAACAAGGTGTTCAGCTGAGGTACCATTTTCAGTGCTAAAACATATTAACATCAAAGAACTATAATAAAAGTTCAGTGATATTACAATTCTACAGGAAAAAGGCTATGAACCAAATGTAATGGCCACAAGAACATTTTAATGAACTTTTAACTACTAAAATGTCATAGTTGTCATCAAAAGTCAAAGTGTCGGCATTTGGGTTCCACGTACAACCTCAACTTCAATTCTGTAACACCACCACGGGCGCACAGAATTGGGACGTCGGTTTATTACGCAATTTTACAAACTTTTCACACCCTTGCCTAAATCTGAAAAAAATCACAAGTGAGAGATGCATGCACACAGTATAACTGAGCTCATGGGAGTAAATTTAAGACCCATATCTCATCACCAGTGATAACCGCAAGATGAGAAGGATACAGGATTTTACCACTTCATGAAACAAAGTTCTCCCTGCACTAAAACTTCTATTATTGGTGCAGCAGCAACTGTAGAAAATCACAGGTCCAGAATTTCAAGGTTTCTGAGGAATCCGTAATAAATGCCTGGGTAGACGCAATGTGCTCTATTCACCTCAACAGAGATGCTAGATTTGTAGTCTGATTCTTCAAATTTCAGTTTAATCATTTTTACCTCTTTTTACTGCTGATCATCTTAATGTTCCAGTAATGTGCTATTTAAAATCCAAGCCACTTTCCTAACGCTTCCAGGTGCCAAAAGGCCCAAACTCTTCTCCTATACCTCCAAAGCATCCTGGAAAGTTTCTCAAATAAAATTTTGCATTTTTTCAATATGAAGTTATATAGCACACTAAAAATGGAAGTGTTTGGATCAACATAAAATAAAGAGGGGATTAGGGTAAGGATTATACGATTCAATTTCACATTTTATTGATTCTTAAAGTGTAGTAAACAGTTGCCGAACCTCCGGGGACCCAGCAGTTGAGTGCCAGAACACAGGTGTCATGAAGCAGCGTTTAAGTCAGTCTTGCTGCAGAGAGCACGGGGTCCTCGGCCTTAATAAACAGCAATGTAAGGAAGAACAGGAGATAATTTTATGTCAGGAATGTGTGACAAGAGCTGGGGCCCTGAACAAAAAAGTTCCTCTCTTCACACACATTCACTGTACCAATAAAACAGGGGAAGGGAAGAGAAAGTTAGAAAGTAGGAAACACTAACATCTCTTGCCAGAATGCGTTTCAAAGCTTTCCATCAGCAGGATGGAAATATCCATTCTGCTGTCTCCACTGTAAGAATAATGTGGGAAATAGAGAGGATGATCATGTTCACAAATCCTCAAACTACTCGGCTTAAAAACTGTATGCAAAAGACTATCGAATAGATGCTTGTGAATTAATTCCACAAGATGCCACTCAAGGTGGTCATTGAATAAAACGCTCAATAAGACAAACTTGTTCTTACCTTTGGAAACCTTTCTTTGTACACATGATTCATCATTATTATTTCACTGTCAAAGGAAATTGGAGAGCGACCAGGGCTGCAGGGAAAAAAAAAAGTCATCATCTATTACCTTTATATAAATAGCTGAAGAAAAAGAAGATCAGCTACTGCCAACAAGTTGCCCATATCAACCAGGGGCATCACAAAGCCATGGCCTTGAATTCACTATAAAAAGGTGTGCTCTTGCACAGAAATCAAGTGAAGAAACGCAAGTTGAAAGTTTTCACATGAACTGCCCTGCCAAATCGTACTGAAGCTACAAACGACCCTGTCTTCATTACAACTGCAATGCATGTGATGAAGACAAGGCCCAACAGAGAGAAATCCAAAACCTGACGGCACAGGTTTGTAAATTTACTTTTAATGATTTGATTTTCCCTACAGGAACGATTCTCAATATTCCCTGCATTATCACAAATTTTCATTTTGCTCTCCATGGCAACATTCAAAGACCTTGCATGAGAAGAGCTCAATATGCTTCTCTCAAACCTGTATTGTAAAAAAGGGAGCATGGGAAAATGAAACAAAGCGGTTCGTGCAACTACTTCCTGTTATCAGAAGACTATATGATGTACTAGCATGTATGCAGATGCAGTGTTATTCATCCAATATTATATGCATGTACACACGCATGTCAAGTAATACACATTTTCATGAAAATTCACCTCCCACATTATATCTTGCACAATGTCGCAAGCACACAGAAAAATGGGACACTAAATCTTGACAGACAGAAAGTTGCACATTACAGCGCGGGTATTTTCAAAAGAACGGTTGCCTCTTATTTCATCATGCTTGGTGGTATGTAATGCTCTGACTCATTCCACCATTAGAAAAAGCCAAAGGCTGAATGAGGTAATGCAGATACAAATTCACTGCACACTGAGTTACCTGATTGCCTGCAGCAGGCGATGACTTCATTTTTTTCTGGTTTTATTGTTTTTTATTTTCAAAATAAATTGTGGCTTCTGTTATAACACATTCTGCAATATTTGCTTTTGTCATTTTGAAGAGTACCCCGTGTTGCTAAATATTTTCTCTACGTTAACAGATTAAGACAATTATTTCTGTCTTGAATGAAACATATTGAAATGTTTCTTTTGAAGGGTGAAAGATAGCTCTCTGAAAGGAATAAATGCATCCTAAGCTCTGCATGCATTACAGATATCAAGCAATAAATCTATTTGGAGGCAATAACATTCTCTTGGGAATTACATGTTTACAACTGAAAGAAAAATTTAACTCACTAATTTTGGGAAAGCAACAATAACAAATCTCTTACCTACGAGATCCCCCCCTTCCACAAATTCCTTTGTGTCCTGCCTTTATTAATGTATATCCTTTGTTATAAGTAAACACACTTCAAATTAAATCCTTCAAAGAAGACCAGTTATGTTAAAGAAAAAAAAAAAAAATAGACGTGGCTATTTTTGTAATTAGCCAGATTGAGTTAAAACGTTGTGTTTTTTTTTAATTCTTCCTCAAGACAATGGCTGTGTACACACGTTCAAATGACCTCGGCGAATTCTGCCAGGTTTGCTCTCCCAGTAGAAAAACTTAGCTGGAGAAGCCTGAACAGGCGTTGAATGCTAAGTCCCTGAAGAGCAGAGAGCTTGTAGCGCTGACACTGAACAGCTGGGGGCCCCTGTGTGCACACCTCAGCATGGTCTGCAGGCTCCCTCAGTCTGCCTGGCAACAGATGGCAGCAGTGTGCAGGGCAGACCTGACTGGGTGTGTCTTCTTGCAGCACAATGTGGGATTGTGAAGGGTGCATGCTCTGCTCCCTGCTCAGCTAGACTGTAGGCTAGAAATAGATGTCACCAACTGATGCGGATCAGCTGTGCCAGACTGTCATGGCAGAGCTGATCTACCTCATTGGGTGAAATACACATTGCCCCTTGTCCCACCATTGGTGGTGTGGGACAAGGGATGATGTCATCTCCCCACTCAGCCAGACCCATCCCCCAAATGTGGCGGGGGAGGCTGTAGGGAGCTGGTGGGGGGCAGTGGTGGTGGGAAACAGGTGGCAGGGGGTGCAGGCACCACAGAGGAGCAGGCAGGAGGGAGAACAAGTTGAAGGGGGCAAGGGGTGAGGGTCAGGCTGCTCATCTCCTCTCCTGCCCCCCACACTGCTGCTTTCCCCACTGTAGCAGTGGAGGGCGGGGAAAGGAAGTTACAACAACTCTCCAATAATTAAGGTCTAAACATGGAAAATTACAACAAATTTATAACTTTTCCACTTATAGAATCTAATTATTGGGGGGGTCTAGTAAATTCACAGTCATTTTGAATTCAGGTAAATTTGGTACTTCAATCCTTTTTCCTACAAAGTGTTATGGTCTATCGGGAAAGCCATGTCTCTTCCCCTCTATTCTTTTGCAGCTGTGATTTTCCTTCCTTTACTTTGGATCCTAATAGCCTTTTCCACTATTCAGAATGTCAGAGCACACAAATGGCAAGGGAAAAAGTCTGGAATCAACTTCCAAATTACCATTCAAAATAAAATCTTCCCAATATAACATGTCAAATTAAATGTCTAATTGACTATGGCAAGATTGTGATGCAATATACTGCGCCATCATTTATGTTCAGCTTTAGTCTGGGAAAGTGCAGAAGTAATTATATGGATAATTGACTAACCAACCAAAGGCTAGCTGCCAGATATAACTGGTTATTTTACAACACCTATGAGACAGATTACCAGATCTCCCCTCTTCCCCCTGCAAAAAAAAAAATCAGTTTTATGCAGATAACTGATACTGAATTTAGCCTAGGGAAAACATGAATTTTAACACAGTAAAATTAGTGAATTCCAATATTTTTATTAATGTGGCAACTTTCCAAGATGTGGAAACCTTGTAAACATATTAAGTACAATAATTTCACATTAAATATTGGAACAGTCTAAAAATGCCAACTTTTACAAACAAAGATCAAGGAGGTACTTTGCGTGCATGCATTACATTTTAATGTAAAAGGGCAGGGGGTTACCTTCTTTTTCCCAGGAGGGAGGGGGAGAAATATAAGAGATGGTTATTTCTGCAAGGTTTTCATGCCACTACAGCAGACACGAGAAGAATATCTGTCCCCTCAAGCTCACTGGTGAAATGAAAAACTACCTCTGTTTTACCCTTCTCCCTTTGTGAAATCATGTTTAATAGACCTAAATGGCACATCTCTCCAATAAAGATATCTGGATTTCTGCCTGTCAAAATAGAGATGTGTGTATCTAAAACTGATGCTATAAAGTTAAAAAACAGTAAACAGGCAGCTACCCCGTGGAGTGGCACACACATTAATAAACAAAGCCTTTGAAAACTGGAGTGCAGAAGTGACTAAATGGAAGTGAAATGCGTCTCTATATGTAATTTTTCCCTCAGTTTGACAGCTGCATTTATTAGAAAAATGCAGAGGGGCTCAAAACCTATGATCTTCTCTGTTTTGCCCCTCTCAGAAAGAAGGTCTAATGAGGATGTACGCATAACACATTTCTAAAGCTCAGCTTGCTCGGGAAACAATTAAAAGCATATGCCTTCATCTTTTGTCACTGACACTAAAGGGATGCAGTTTTAAAGCCGTAGAGATGTAAGTGCATAAAATAAAAACTCAGAGTCGTATCCTCTGGTGATGCAAGTGAGCGGAGGATCAGGAAATAAGGACAGAAGGAGCTGACTTCACAAAACTTGTTTCTGATTTAATGGAAACTAATGTGGACAAGCTATCAGTCAGCTGCTGGTACAGACCTGCTCCAGCACTGCTTGATGCACCGCGTAGATCAGGCCTCAGGGCCCACTCCCGTTTCCAGTGAAGACCACAACTAATTGACTACTCATTTCAATAGGAGCAGGCTTGGTCCCTTAGACTGAACTTTAGCCACAGACAAGGTTCTTTGCAATAACTCCGCCTGGGGAATTTGTACACCCCTTCAAACCTGCATTATTGAAGAGACGTGACAGAACAGAGTGCTTAGAACATGCACTGGAGTTCAACAGACCCTCTGGCATGTAGCTTTCGGAAGTTGTGCTGTATTTAACGCTTACCGACCGGTGCACTTCTCTGGTTTTGTGCCTCTGATGGATGACTGAATACAGAGGCTGCAAAAATATGCAAGCCAAGAAAAGAGTTTTCGACTGAAACTGGCTAGTGTAAAGTTTACAGGTATGGCAGAAGAAAGAATTACAGAAAAATAATGTTTATTCAATTTATGCCTGCATAATCAAAAGCATACCAAAAGGCAACTACTGTGGCCCTACTGAATTAGGAAACTGGGAGGCCAAATGGGGTATTCCATGAATGCCATAACACAACCCCCCACAAGCAAACAAATAACCCAACAAAACCCCAATTCTTCCTGATTGTGACTATGTGGTGGCATTGTTCCTGCTGCCAATCTCCTGGAATGCTGGTCCATACCTCTACATACAAATGAATTTTATATACATATGTCTTCATTTGTATGTCTCCATGTCTTCTTATGTAGGGCTTGTAATCCCATTTATACGTTTGTCACAATCATAACATCATTCGGCCATTTACGCAAGATCTAGCAGGTCACTCGTCTGCTTAATGTATTTCCTTTACAGACACCACGGATTATTTTTAGCATACGGGAGAACATTATTTATAGCTTTTTTAAAATAATAACCTCTTTCCCACAAACATTTAGTTCTACCAATAGGGTTGTTTTTCTCGTGATCTTGTATCTTATTTAATGTGTCTAAAAATAAGCAGATAAAAACCTGATCCTAACAAAAAAATTGTTAGAAGCTTTAAGAATTGAATGGGAAAAAGACTGTACGTTACATAAGTCAGCAGTACACTCTCCTCTGGAGAACAATCTTCAGTTTTGGTCAAGTTATCTCTAAACAAACTCTATTTCTGCTATATACTTTTTGAGAGGCAACATACATTATTATGACCACTAGTAGGCCTACATAATAAAAAAGGTTTAGACTCTGTAGTTTCCTGAAAAAAATATAATAAAATTAAAACAAGACTGGGATGCAAGGCAGATAGGAACACCCATTTTTACCTTTT